AGTGTTCTCTCTGATTATTTAATTTTCAGAATGAAAAATGGGCTTTATGTGGAAGATTATTGGATAAATTGTAAACTCTTTCCCCACATTTGCAGACTGAAGTGGTACTTTGCCACATTAGTTGAACAACTCATTCTGTAGAATGATTTCTTGAACCATTTTAGGGCAACAGTAGAAGCGCCTGTTACAGCTCTCCTCTCCTCACCACGAATGCCCCACTACTGGAAGAGATGAGACAGCCATGTGGAAGGGCTGAAGAGGGTTCTTACCACATGGCTCAAGGCTTCTCATATCACCCTAGTAGCACCTTAAGAAGTTGTACAGTATAGGATCACACTACCATCATAACCTGAAAAGTGCCTTAGACTTGGGTCTTCTTGGAACTCAGAAGAAAAAGAGCTCCAAATGTTGGGAGTGAACATTAAAGAATACATTTCTACAAGCTCCTTTTATATGTTCTCAAATATGGAAGACTTTTTACATTTGAAGTTTTACTGACTGCTACTATGAATCTCTAAGGTATTGGTGTGCTATGCCATCTTTTCCAACCATCAGATATGTAGAAATCTGGTTCTGTATAGGTGTTTCTTTCTCCAAATTCCCAGTTAATTTCTTATCTAAATCCTCTATAAGTCAGTTGAGATGCTGATTTGATTCAATGTACTTTTTGTGAAAGAAAACCTATTAAGACATAAATCAGGGGTGTCAAACATATGGTCCACGGGCCAGATTCGGCCCCTGCAGGGTTCCTATTGGGCCTGTGATCAACTGGTTCTCATCTGCTTCCTGTATCACAGCTCGCTTTTGCCCAGCTCTCTCCTCTTCTGCTTCTTGCTAAGCAGAGGCGAGAAAGAAGGCCAAGCCTCCATTCCCTCGATTGACTGAGCACTCCTCCCCTCCTCCTTTGGTGGAAAGAGCCTGTGAGAGAGAGGGAGAGAGAGTCCCATGGCAACGTTAAGACCAGCGAAGTTTTATTCCAGGTCTAAGCTTTCCTGTGGAAGCACACTTCTTCAGAAGGAGGGAGGGAGGGGAATGAAAGCCAGAGAAAGCATGAGAGAGAGAGAGACCCCCCCTTTCCAATTCTAACAGATGGGGGGGGGGGAAAGAAACCTAACAGCACAACTTGCAATCTTTATTAGTGGAAGGGAGCAAGAGTCCAGAAGGGAGGAAGTTGTACACCTTTAAGACCAACAAAGTTTTATTCCAGGTATAAGCTTTTGTGTGCGTGCACACTTCTTCAGAGAGAGGGAGGGAGGGAAAGTGAAAGATATATATATATTCCCCTTTTCACTTTTAACAGATGGGGGGAAGAAACCCAGCAGCACAGCTTGCAATTTTTGTTATTTGAAGGAAGCAAGAGTAGCAGTACCTTAAAAACTAAGAAAATTTGTGGCAGGACATGAACTTTCACAGGTCACTGCTCATTTCTTCAGATACAGCTAGAATGTGAGTCCATCTCTCCTTATATCTTGGAGAGTGAAGTGATTTCAGATGCCAAATGACAATAGCAGGCATTGGTAATGAGAGAAGAAACCTAAGTATCGATTCAGCCAAGGAGGATGCATTGTCTTGAACTTCATTATCAGTTGCAGTTCAGCAGTGTCTCTAATCTCACTTTGAATTTTTTTTGTAAGAGAACTGCTACTTTTAGGTCACAAATTGAATGTGCTGAAACGTTAAAATGTTCTCCCACTGGTTTTTGAATGCTGTGGTAGTAGTGGAAAGATTAAGTACAAAAAGTAGTAGAAAGAGTAGTAGAAATAGCAGTATAAAGAATCCAGTAGCACCTTAAATTTGTGGTAGGGTATGAGCTTTCATGAGTCACTACTCACTTCTTTAGACTTGTTTCCTTTTATTCTTTGCATCTTCCTGGACTGACTCCTCCTGGACCAAACTGAGACCTAGGTTTCCCATGTCATTACCAATGCTGATATCTCCACATCTACTACCCGTCTGCATATCACACCTAATCCAATCAAGCCTGCTATTGCCATTTAGCATCTGAAATCATATTTATAATGTTTGTATCACTGGTATCTCATGTTACATTTTATGACACACATGGCCAGACCTAACAAAGTGACATTTATCTCAGATCTGGCCCTCATAACAAATGAGCGCGACACCTCTGACATAAATGATAAATAGTCTGGTAGAATGATTGATAACTTTATTTTAATTCTCCATGGGAAGTTTAGTTTGGGATTTTTCACATATAGCATTAAACCTCAACAAAATTACAAATATTCAAGCGAAGAGGGTTTAAATGTTCTAGATATATTTGTGGAAAATGCACTGTAATATAAAGTATGTCTTTTTAAAAGGTTCTCACATAAACTATCCACAGGCTAGATTTTATGAGTAAAGTTGCTGTGTGCTAAATGAATACCAGCTAAATGAATACCAGAAAACATAACTTCCTTCTGGCTGTGGAAACAGAGATCTACTGCTTAGTTAAACCTCAAGTATGTTTTTAAATAATTAATTGTTTTATTAACATGATTGTCTTATTTAATTTGAATCAAGCACACATTTGGAAACATTTACATAAGATGTTTTCAGCAACTGTGTTGCTAATTGAACAGAATCAAGATAAACACATACTGGAAAACTCTGTCTAATACATCCTACTCATTGTTATCCCATTTTTTAATCTCCAAAGAACCACAGGGTAGAATATGTGGTTCTTCCTTCCCCATTTTATCCTCATAAAAACTGGGAGGTAGTTTAGGTTGAGAACTTGTGACTGGCAGAGTGGGAATTTGAACTCAAGTCTCCCAGCACACTAATTACCATATAAGAACATAAGAAGAGCCTTGCTGGATCAGACCAATAGTCCATCTAGTCCAGCATCCTGTCTCACACAGTGGCCAACCAGCTTCTCTGGGTGGCCAACAACTGGGCATAGAGGCCATGGACTTCACTTGATGTTGCCTCCTGGCTCTGGGATTCAGTTCCCCTCAGTCACCATGGCTAGTAGCCATTGATAGACTTATTCTCCATGAATCTGTCTGATACCCTTTTGAAGCTGTTTATTCCTGTGGCCATCACTACATCCTCTGGCAGTGAATTCCACATTTTATCACTCTTTGTGTAAAGCAGTATTTCATTTTGTCTGTCCTGAACCTTCTGCCCATCAGCTTCATTGGATGGCTTCTAGTTCTAGTATTTTGGGAGAGGGAAAAACATTTCTGTTTGTCACCTCATGCATAATTTTATAAATCTCTGTCATGTCTCCCCTTAGTCATCTCTTTTCTAAACTGAAAAGTCCCAAACTTTTCAGCCTTTCCTCATAGGGAAGGTGCTCCAACCCCCTAAATATCTTGGTTGCCCTCCTGTGTATTTTTTCCAGCTCAGCAATGTCCTTTTTGAAATAGGGTGACCAGGATTGAACACAGTATTCCAAATGAGGCTGTCCCATAGATCTATACCGGGGCATTACAATACTGGCAATTTTATTCTCAGACCCTTTCCTAATAATCCCTAACATAGAGTTAGCACACACACACACACAACCTTTATTGGCACTGAAAGCACAAGACATCATGGAAATACAGCAAAATACTAAGATGCATCAGTCACTTATACATGGCTATTCAAGCCCCTGATTGCATAATATAAAAATTTTGCAACAGCCTCCATTATTTTGCAATTAGAATTAAGCAGAAGAAAGTGAACAACTGAATCATCAGAATGCCAGCTCTTACCCTGTAGAAGTGGAGTAATGAAATGAGATCACATATCCCTATAAAGGGGGCAATGAAGTATGGTGTGTGTAGTGGATTCTATATCTTTCAGATAACAAGGACAAAGTCTGTCTACATATGGTGTCTGGCGGTACCTCCCTAAAAGCACCTCCGATGGCAGAACATTAAAGCGTGCAAGCATCTATGCTCTGCGATGGTGTGGGGCTGTTAACAGATATTTCGCAGTAGAACCCTCATAGAGTTTGGGCCAAAATACTAGAGCATCGCCACATGACATCCCCAGCATGATGTCACTTCTGCGTGACATCATTGCACCGACAGCATCATGCGTGGTGACGTCACCTTGCCCACCACTCTCAGAAGGCTTCCTCCCACCTCCCACTGACAGAAAAATCTGACCTGGCAACCCTACTGCCTCCTGCTGCCACTGCATAATTGCCCATTAGCAGAGTACATAAATTTGGGTCTGTCAAAGAGAGGAGGGGAGAGTTCTTCTCTGGTTCAGATATTCCATCCAGGTCTGAGAGGTACTTGGCAGCTAGGAAGCTTGCCTTATACTCTAAGCCAAAGTAGTACATACTCCGTTGCCATCTCTGTAGATCTTATGATGAAGAAGGAGGCCGTCGTAAGGCTATTAACTCCATATTCTAAACTTACCAACCTTAGAAGTTAAGGAGACTGTAGGAGAACATAGGTTAGTAGCTATAGATCAGTCATTGTGCAGAATTACTCCAGTCTAAGCCAGTTAATTTCATTGGGGTTAGACTGCAGTAACTGTATGGAATCACATATGTTGTAAGAACCCTTCTTCACATGCCAGTTATACAGCCTTGATGCTGTGGTGCTAACCAGCAAGGCTTTGTAAGTTCATAGATCAAGAAAATTGCCAATGTCAATGAGCTCATTCATCAAAATGCACCCGCCATCACGGAGACCTCTGGAATAAACTCACTGTGTTGATAATGGTGGAGACAAAATGAAGGCTACTGGGGTAGTAATGTTTCAGGAAGGTAAGAGAATGTCATCAGCCATCATCTAAAGCTCTTGCATCAGCTGATCTTTGGATGTTGTGCTTCTGCTTTGGTCTAATACGGAACAGATGTTCTCCCACTCTTGCACAGATTGCATTTTGCCAAATTGCCATTATGGTTTTCATTTATCCACAATGATTTGGGGTGTGATCAGTGTGAGGAAATGAATTCTAGATGTACGGTTTTGTTGGTTTACTATACAAAAGGTAGCACCATGTTTCTTAACCTTTAACTACCTGTTTTGTTTCATTACAATATATAGGTGTAATCACAGTAGAGAAACCAGAATTTCTTGACTATGAAGTCAGGCAGAAGTTACATTTTACAGTCTTAGCTGACAATGGCCTGAGCTCAGTGCTGTGTGGAATGACAGTATTTATACAAGACATGAATGATAATGCGCCTCAATTTGAACAAAGCTGTTTCACAGCATCAGTGTGGGAAGGCCAGCTCACCAGCACATATATCATGCAGGTAACTTCAGATGTGTGTTTGAACTGTGCTTCTCCGATAGTCATACTTTCTATGGACATTTTCATGAGGTTTACCTTCTATTTGAAAAAAAAATGAAAATAGAAATATAGTACATTATGGACTACTTAGTCCAGTGGTTTCTATCTAGAGGCTAAATTCAAAGCCTATGTTTTTAATTTATATTTTTAGTACACTGTAAATATTGATATATTTTGTTTTATTTTTAACATTGTTCTATCTCAAGCTTTGTGGTACCCCATTTAGTTGTTAGGTTGGGTTTGTATTTCTTTTTTTATTGTATTTGTCTTGCATACACATTCATATCTGGGGCCTCTCCATGTGCCATAAGATAAGCTGCTAAATGGGCCACCACAACAGCCTTTGGTCAAGTACAAACTGTAATACAGGCAGAGTATAGTAGCTGGTAAGACACAGTGTATACATGGTTTCTAAATAAAGAACACTAACCCATATCTGTTCCAGAATGTGTATTTCACCATTTCATGATAAGCATGAATTTTGTTCCCATTCAGATCTATGCAACAGATGCTGACAGTGGAATAAATGGGGAACTTAAATATTCAATTATATCTGGCAACACAAATGAAGCATTTCTCATTGATTCAGCACAAGGAATTATATCAGCCTACACAGTCTTCAATCGGGAAGACATTTCATCATACAGGTTTGTTTATATTCAATATATCTAATTCTCAACATGGCCTCAACTGTGGATACTTAAATCCAGAGATTGGGGCCATGAACAGACCAGATAGCTCTTTCTACAAACCTGATGACAAGCCTCTGGTTTACAGGAATATCTGTAATCTTAAAATAACAGGAATATCTGTAATCTTAAAATAATACAGTAGGGGAGTTAAAAAAAAACCAAACCCGAATAAAAGAAGCAATTCCCATTGCTTTAAGAAAAAAATGCCCTCTGTTGCCATTGCTAAGCAACAACATTGCCAATTTTCAGGTTTTGGTTTCTGTCAGTAAAAGTGGAGGAGGAGGAGGTGGAGGAGAAAGGGCCAGCCTTGGCAACAATAACTGAAGAAGAGAAGAAGAAATTGGATTTATACCCTGCCCTTCACTACCTGAAGGAGTCTCAGAGCAGCTTACAATCGCCTTTCCCTTCTCCTCCCCACAGCAGACAGCCTGTGAGGTAGGTGGGACTGAGAGAGATCTTTCGAGGACTGTTCTTGAGAGAACATCTCTGAAATAACTTGTAACTGACCCAAGGTCACACCAGCAGCTGCCTTTGGAGGAGTGGGGAATCAATTGAGCCACTTGCATGACTCACCCAGGACTGGCTGCTTGCTGTTCTTCAACAGTAGCCACCCCATGAAGGCCAGTGTGGTGTAGCGTTCAGAGTTTCAGATTAGGATGTGGGGGCTGAGGTTCAATTCACCACTCTGTTGTGAAAGGTCATGGGTAGGAAGGAAAGGCACTTGTTTCATGTTGAAACAGCATGAGGGACAGTTATTTCTCTGTTTTTGCTGCTAAAATGGGAAAATACTGTTCAGTTTTGGTGCAGAAGATTGCTAGAGGCAGACAAGAGCCCTTCCTCCCTCTGGTGGCATTCAGGACCCATCTCTTTACAAAAGACTATGTCTAATTTGGCCCTTACACCTCCAGTTTTGTGAAGTTAAAGGAAATTTAGACCAGACTATCTGAATCTTTCTACTATAATTATTTTGTTTTGATTTTCCACCTTGCACACTCTTTTAGGTTAATATTTTTAAATTTTCCGTCTATAGTAACTTATTTAAAAAGAAATTCTGACCCTCACACTTTCCCTCCAAAACATCAAGACTTGGAGCTGTGTGTGAGAGAGAGTTAGTGTGCACACATGTGCATGTGTGTCAAGGTTTTTCCCATTCCAAAGTATCCCTGTCCTTCCCAAACAAGCTGAAGATAATGCATCTACTCTATGTTCAGTCGCTCGACACTCATTCAGTGCTTTTTTATAGTTGCTTGCAAGCTGAGCTTTCCCACAAAATTTCGGTCCATAGCCACACCCAGGAATTTCCATGGAGCATGATACTTGCCCCCAGCCGCAAGGATTCCAGTCAGAAGGGGTTCCAGCTTCTATCACTAAGGAAGACCATGCTGTAACCCTAGGGAAGTGGCAAGGAATGCCTTATAAATTGCTGTTGAAACAAGTTGACAAAATGGGATTTTAAAAAAAATTGTCCCTTCTGTATTTCTTTACTCTGTTATGTGTCACTGTAGACTGACTACAATATAAAACCAAACGATGCTTTGGTATCATACAGGCAAGCCTCAGATTTGTATGTCCTATCCTCCCACCCTGTACTGCAATCCCCACGCCCTTTCTGTTTTGCAGCAGTTGATCATCAAATCCAGCAATCTATGGTTTGTGCTTTCTCTTCAAACTAGAACTGGAAACCATGGCTAAATCATGGCTTGGAGTTTTAGTTAAGGGAAGAACCACAAACCAGTTTACTGCTTTAGGTATAATAGCTGATTGTGGGTTAGAGCCTTTCACGTGTAAGCAGCAAAGATCTTTCTTGACCTCCATCTTCCTTTAGCCCTGAGTAGCCTAAAAAGCTGGAGCAGAGAAAGCCATGCAACCTGGCAGTGGGTGCTGTGGTTAGGAGTAGGAACTGTGTAATATCAGTCTAAGTCTTTCTCGGCGCCAGTGCCACTTCCATAGACATACACGCCTTCATTGGCACAAGGACAACATAGAGATTTCACTTGGCTCCACCTCCTCACTGCAGTTCCCCAGGCTGTGTGGCTGTTTTTGTTCACAACCACTAGGTTTTTGGAGTTCTCAGAGGGTTTCTGGAGGAATGGGGAAGCAGAAAGGATCAGTAATCAAAAGTATATCCTGCTTGTACTTTATGGGCTACAAAAGTATGGTTTACCTATAGAAGGAAGATATCTGCTGAAATCAGGAGAACAGTCTGCATACACAGGGGCTTCAGGTTTTCTTTCCATACCTACTACCAAAGTTCCCTCTAAGCTGTAGAGTCTTGTGAGCAAAAATTCTACCTTGTGAGCTACTGGCATTAAAGTTGTGAGCGAGCGATTGGGCTGCTGCATCAATTAGTTTGCTCTGGAGCCCTCCCTTCCTGAGCGAAGACAAAAAGGTGTGAGCTGTAGGCTAAAAAACTGTGAGCTAGCTCACGCTAACTCAGCTTAGAGGGAACACTGCCTACCACATACCCTACATTTGTCCTCTCGCCTGAATTTCTGGTACCCCAAAAGGTGTTTATGAAATTTGGGGAACCTTGCGGAATGCGTTTTCATTCATTATTAGATCTCAGGTGCATCCAGGGCTGCAATGGACATGAGGATTGTTGGGTCCTGGCCATACTTTTAACTACTTTGAATGACCAGGACTTCAGAATTGTTTCATTTAACTATCCTTGCTGCAGAATGCATGTATAGAAATAGACAAGTGGGGGGGCCTGTGACAGTTGTGGGTGGAGAATCCCTTCTCCCCCTTATCGTGGTTCCAGGCCCCACCACCCACCTTAGGCCTGGCAGCGACAGCAACGTTGAACTGTTATTATAAAATGGCCCTTTGTCTACTCAATCAGTAGGCTATTACATTTAATATAACAACCATTCACAATAGAGGATTCACTTTTTCAGAACTTAAATTAACTGTTATTTCACCTCAGCAGTATACTGGGTCTGAAATGTTAAGGCCCTTAAAATAGGGGCTTCAGAGGGGAAGTGCTGACAGAAGTTTAATTTAAATGTCTTGGTTGAGATGTTTTTATGGCATTTTCTTTCTCACTGAAACCTAAGGAACCGATTATTTTAGTAAATATTTCCATATGTACCTTCCTGATATACATTCTAGACAAAATATGAAATTATGTGTGTTTACAAACTTGAATGCAAGTCTGTAATTCAAGTAATATGTTCTGACAATTTTTAAGCCGCAAAAACTCGCAGAGCAGAACTGGTGTGGTAGATGAATGGCAGCGGATTCTGTAGATTAAATTTCAGTTTATTGTGCCCAGCTCTGTTGTGCAAATAATAATAATGCCATTTGTCACTTTTGAAAGGAAGTTACTGTGTCAAATATGAAGAAGATGAATTCTGCATATGGGTTTAATAAGTGTATATTTTGGCATCCCAAGTTTTGAAGTAGATCATAATGAAATTCATAATAAAAGACAGGCTTCTAAAGACGAAGGAAAAAATACTGCTTACTCATTTAAACCTATTTACAATATGTAAAACATATGACATCCATGAAGTATCAGTGTCACTCTCTGGTCCTGCACTCCCTGCCGCTCTTTTTATCAGTTTATGGCTCATAAGCTCCATCTTTTCCCAGAACTGTATCCATGATGATGAAGTAATGTTATTGGTATTTATCTTGACATTCTGTAGCAAGTTTTTGAAATATTTAATTGGATTAATTTATCATTTTACGTGTAACTTTGCATAAGCATTCTCAATAGATCCAAGGCACTTTTCTTTAAAGAGAGGTAACTGTTTACTGTGTGCAGGCAGGCAGGCATTCCAATCCAGTGATTATCCAGACTTGCTGTCCACATCTTAATGCAGGGATTGGATGCATGTCCACATCGGACTACCATGGGTATTACTAATCAAACACTCATTTTGGTGCGTGGATAATTCTGGATTGAGCTCAATGAGTATTTCTTAAAGGTGATAAGATTGCAATACTTGCAGCTGTTTTGTATACAAAATCTTAGTCATTTAGAGCATATTGGTGAAAGAACTGGGCAAGATCCATTTTAGCAGAACAGTGCTCATGAAACAAGTGTTCCTGCCTCTCCCCTTTATGGCTTTCCTTCGCCTCCTTTAACACACACACACACACCCAAGAAATCATGCTCTTGAGGAGAGGGAAGTTTGCAGTGAGAGGGGATGAATTCCCTTCTCCTTTTCCCATAGGAGGAAATGTGTTCTGTCAGCAAAAACATAGCTAGGATCTACCCCATAAAAATGTATAGATATTTTATTCCTGGCAGATGTTGACATGATGACCTCATTGTACCTAATTTTTAATAGGTTGGTTTTACAAGCTGTTGATGGGGGAACTCCCAGGCTATCAGCTACGAGCACAATAGAAATACAAGTAGTGGATGTCAATGATAACGTTCCAACTATCCAGCCACTAGGCACAGTGGAACTCCCTGAAAGTAAGTGGGGTGACTGCTAGGCTGTAGTATACATTTTTGAAAAGGCAACGACTGTTCAGAGTAGTAATTAATTGGGCAGTATCCTTCCATTCCATGCAGAGAATGCTTCATTTTCTGGTGTTTGTTTTTTCAGCCTTTCCAGACCCCTGGAAAGATTGTACACTGGGTAACAGAACCAGATGGAGGAATAGCCAAAGAGGTCTGGGATGGGGGGTAGGGTGAGGAGGTCAAGGAGCTGAAATAATTCCTCCTTCCACAAGGGCAGTTCCACTGAGGAAATAGGTGGCTGCCTCTTCTCATCCTCTTGTCCTTCCTCATTCCAGCCCACTGTCTCACATGGCTGTTCTTCTCTATATCTTGCAACTCCAGGAGAGGCTGTAGGGAGGTGTGTTGGGGGGGGGGGGGGGGGGGGCTGAAAGAGCTTCTGGAAAAGAGAGACGAACATGAGAAAACATCATAGATACTGCTCAACAAAATGCTTAATATTCTTGTGGCATATTTATGCTAGTTGTTGAAGCTTTTGAAGTCGTAATATTGGTTAAAAATACTGCTGCAAGACTCAGATGTCAAACTCCTGAGATTCAGTTTCTGTTTCCCTTTGGGGGGAAAAAATGCAATTCATAAGCCAGCACTCCCTGATTAAAGTTTACTATTCTGCTTTTATTGACAGAAGTAGCACTGATGTTATGAAAATAAAGTACCTATAAAGCATCCACTGAAGACAGTGGAACTGAGTTGGGATGCTAGAGATCCTTCCATTTCTAGAAATGAAGCCTCTTTGGGGGCTGTCTTTAGTGGCATGATAGTTGCTGCATTGTGGTACACTCAGCAATCCTGGAAGTGATCAAATGGAAGAAATCTACATTGGGTTGAATTCTAGGAGAGCCCACATAAAAGGCTGGTTTAAGTGGGTTTTCCCGTATTGCCCCTTCCCCCAGCCTGTGGACCTTAAAAAGGTGGTGTTGAAAGTTGGGGGATTTGTAGTGATGAAAACCTTCACTGAGAAGGTGAAAGCAAGCTGGGACACCCCTCTCTGCCTGTTCCATCAGGGGAGCCCTTTTGATCCAATCAGTTATGTGGTTTGCAATGAGAGGGGTTGCAAAAATATAAGCCATGCAGGTAACCATATTCATCACAGATTTAGAATATCTTAATGGTGATGGGTAAGTCCTCTTGTTGTACACTTAGTCTTCATAAAAATAGAACATGTATAGGAGGCTAGCATTCTATAAAACATGCAAAAAGAGCCATCTCTAGGGTCTCATATTTGAGCCTGTCTATTGCAGATACTCCACTTGGCTTCCTTGTGATGCAAGTTTTGGCAGATGATGCGGACCTGGGCCCACCTCTTCACTACAGTTTTGCTGAGGGTGGTAATCCTGGAAGGAAATTTGCAATTGACAAGTACAAGGGAAAAATCACATTGGTGCAGGCGTTAGACTTTGAAGAAATTGCTCAGCTTGAACTGTTAATCAGAGTTTCTGATTCTGTGCATCAAACCACAGAAAAACTTTTAATCCTTATATCTGATATAAATGATAATCCACCAGTTTTTACTCAGGATGCATATCAGGTAAGAACAAAAATATTGCCATGGAAGCTTTTATATGGAATACATCTGTCATGTGTGCTTGAACCACTTTAATCTGTTTTCATTTCAGGTGATGATCCCAGAACTCACAACTATAAATGCTTCTGTCTTAACCGTGTGTGCCACAGACAGAGATTCAGAGTATAATGGAAAGATATCCTACAGAATTCTCACATCCTCTGATGCATTTTCTATGGATCCAAAAAATGGTGAGTCCAGTGTGCATTTAGTATGGAACATGCATTATGGATTGCAGTCTTGTACAGTCACTTGTTTGTACAGGATTGTGTTGATCCACATAGCCACATTTCATTACATTAGTCACTAAAAAAGTCAGACTGTAGGTTTCAGCTAGAACATACCTCACATCCTCTGATGCATTTTCTATGGATCCAAAAAATGGTGAGTCCAGTGTGCATTTAGTATGGAACATGCATTATGGATTGCAGTCTTGTACAGTCACTTGTTTGTACAGGATTGTGTTCATCCACATAGCCACATTTCATTACAGCAGTCACTGGAGAAAGTCAGACTGTAGATTTCAGCTAGAATATACATATGAAACACAGGTATGAAAACCAGCCATATTAAAGCTAAAAGACAACGGTATTGGAAACATGAAATTTCTCTTTACCTTCAGACTATCTGCAAAGCAAACAGTGACAAAATTCCATGTTGTTCCTATTCCATGAAAAATGGCAAATGTTTAAATTTAGACTTTTCTTTTGGAATGCTGTTCAGCACAAATTCTTGGAATTAAACTGTGAATGAATTTTGTGGAAGGGATCGTTGCTGATCCTGAAGGTCAAAGTGCCTTCAGGAATGACATGGGACATGGCACAATGGAACCATCAGAATCCCATGTCCAATCATGAACTCTTGTTTCATTTGAGCAAGAGTTCGGCGGGGGGGGGGGGGGGTTGCCAGTTCTCGTTTTCCTCTGCAGCCAGCTGTACAATTCTTCCAGAAGGTTACCTCTTCTGCAGGAACTTTTTTTGGTTGCTGTGGGAAAGAGATCAGCAAAGATCACTTAAACCATTCTTAGTACCTTGGAAACTCTAATTCTACTAAAATATATAACATCATAATCTCTGCCATATTTAAAAAATTTTACACATAGTATCCTACATTTTCAGGTTTGAAATGTTTTCGAATTGACAAGCGTTCCTTCCTCTTTAGGGAGCACAGGAACAAAACAAACAGAATCACTGTTCATCATTTATCCATTCATTTAAATCCTACCTTTCTCCCCAAATGGGGGCTGCAGTCACACACACGATATAATCCACTTTCAATCCACTTTCAGTGCACTTTCCAACTGGATTTTTACTGTGTGAACTGGCAAAATCCAGTTGGAAAGTGAATTGAAAATGGAGTATTTAGTATGTGTGACCGCAGCTGGGGACCCTATGTGGCTTATTACAAAAACTAAAGTACAATTATACAAAAACAAATGAACAAGTGAATGGAGGGGAGAAGGCTTCTAAAATGTAGAGCACTTCTTCTTCTGTTTTCCTCTCTCCCAGGAAATATTCCTGCCAGCTCTAGTTTATATCTTCAGGCTAAGAGGTAAAGGCTAAGAGTTACTGGAAGTTTGTTACATCATGACGTATTTTTGCTTTATTGTAGGATCACTATTTTTGACTAAGCCAGTGATGTACCAGGACAAAAATCCAATTATTCAGCTCCTAGTAGAAGCCATTGACCATGGAAATCCTCCTTTGACTGCCATTACTTCAGTGATTGTACATATACAGGATGTGAATAATTATGCGCCTCAGTTTACAATGGCAGCATATAATCTCAGTGTAAGAGAAAATATGTCCATTGGAGTGAAACTGCTCACATTTTCTGCTATTGACAATGACATGACACATGAAAATAGTTACATTGAATATGCCATTATTGGGGGTAATGGTAGTAACAAATTTCTTGTGGAAATGTGTGTCATTGAACCACAATCTCCAAATAAAGTGGTTGGAAATCTTGTGCTAAGAAGCCTTCTAAACAGAGAGAAAGTGTCGTTTTACCAGTTATTAATTCTTGCATCTGACCACGGAACTCCTCTTCTAAACTCCACAGCTACTGTAGCCATCACTGTTTTAGATGTTAATGACAATCCACCTGTATTTACCAGCTTGGAATACCGTGTTCATGTTAGAGAAAGTACCCCAGTAGGAAGTCATATTACTGTGGTTTCAGCAAGTGATTATGATGCTGGTTCTAATGCAGAGGTCACTTACAGTATTGTCTCTGGAAATGACAAGGAACATTTTCGATTAGATGGGAAAACTGGCTCCCTTGATCTGGTCCGACCTCTGGATTATGAAGAAACAATAACATTCAGTTTGACTATTCAAGCCTGTGATGGAGGAACGGATATAAAAAATATGGCTTTTGCTACTGTTTTTGTCAGTGTTCTTGATGATAATGATTATGCACCAATATTTGTATTCCCCAACGTGGATTGCAGAGTACATGAAAATCTTCCCCCTTTTTCTTCTGTGTGCACAATCTCTGCATTAGATTTTGATACTGGCCCCTATGGTCATCTTTCTTACTTCATCCAGTCACCGTGTTTGTCTGGCCGTGGAACTTCTGTTGATGATGACATGTTCCTCATAGATCCTCTGACTGGGGCTATCCGTACTAAACAAGTCCTTGACTTTGAACATCAGAATAAATATTGCTTTGTAGCTCAGGCAAGAGACAAGAGCGATGCCACAGCCACTGTTACAGTTCAGGTGACAGTTGAAGGAACAGATGAATTTGACCCAGTTTTTAACAAAGACCTGTATCTTTTTGGTTTTCCTGAAATGAATGAAGCAGGGCAGCTGGTCGGCAGAGTGTCAGCATCAGATTATGACAGAGGATTGGATGGTGTCATTCGTTACAGTCTGCTAAAACCATCCCCTTTCTTTTCTGTGAACCAAAGCAGCGGGGCTATCTATTTGACTAAATCTTTTCACAGGAAAAGGAGCAGCATGAAGAGAAAAGAAGGCACCCTTGAACTGCTTATAAAAGCTCATAGCCCCAAACTGGACTCTAAATTTAGCATATGCACAGTTCTGGTGAACATTTCTAGTACCCCGGAGAACTCTTCCATGTTGGCACCGCACACCTTGACCATTGGTATTGTTGCCTTTACAGTCCTGTTCCTCTTTCTTGCCATCAGCCTTGCAATGCTCATTGTGAGATACAGACAAAAAGATGCAGTGAACTCCAGTGAGAAAAAAGAGATCCCATGCGGCTCAGCAACAGATTTGAGTGCAGGTAATGAAAGCAGTGCCCCTGAAGCTGCCCAGAATACTCCAGTCCCTGCAACAAGCACCCTTCCCATAAGCTCCATAGCTGAATGGCTAAGTTTGGTTGGCTTTAGAGAAAGGAAGGATATGGCTAATCCTTGCAGGCATTCAGACTCCAGTGGCCATGGCTCTGCAGAAGGAGAAACAGCAGAAGATGAGGAAATACAGAGGATTAATGAGCATCCTTGCCGGAAGGGTTCTGAATCAGCTTTAAGCGACCGAGGCTCACGGATACCAGACTCGGGAATTCCCAGGGACTCTGATCAGCTTTCATGTCAGTCTGGAGAGACAGATGTGGTTGGTGTGAGTCAAAGTGCAGAGACTATCCCAATCTTCAGAGATGGAGGCAGAGGAGAGGAAAGAGATTGGGACACCAGGTATACTAGCAATAATACATCATTACTTCAGAACATGGGAATAAAGGAAATGGACGTCATGACAGGCATTGCACGAGAATGTAACTTCATACCTGATGGCCAGATCTCCCATTATGGATCTCTTGCTACCCTAGTAGACTCTGATGAGGATCTTAGAGGCAGTTATAACTGGGATTACTTGCTGAATTGGGAACCCAGATTTAAACCTCTCGCATCTGTGTTCAGTGATATTGCAGAACTGAAAGATGAAAGCATAAAAACATACAGCCTTCCAAAGGAGAAGAAATCTTTCATTTTCCCCCCTCCCTTGATTACTTCTGTAGCTCAACCTGGTTTAAAGACAGTCCCCCCACGAATGCCCACTCTACAGCCTGGTCAGGCATTTAAAAACTGCCCTCACTCACCCCTCCTCCATAACCTAAGATATCCTCCATCAGCCATGACTCCTAGTTTTTCTCCTTCTCTGTCCCTGCTTACAGTGCAGACCCCTGTGGCCTCCCCACTAACTTCACACCCTAGCCTAAGGGGGATGTGCCCAGGTGGGCCAACATGTGAACTTTTAACAGAAGAAGAAATTCAAGTGTAGGTTGTTTATCATCAGTACACAACATTAGACGAACATTTGGCAAAAAAGTGTTTGCCATGTTTTTTAATGAGCACAGCATGCCACGTTTATATATGTAAATATTTTTATTTTTATGATCTAAAAACAAGTATGTAGCTGAAAGTTCTATCTGCCTAGCTGCAAATTTTACCCTTTATTTGTCATTACCTTTGTGGCATTCTTTTTTGAAATGCTCAGATTACTACTGCAAAAAGTAAATGTTTGGGCTCTGCATGCTCTTCTCACCAAGGGAATCCCAGCTGGAAAAGAACTTTCACCTTAATGCTCACTCTTAAAATCTGGTGAATTGAGCAGGGGTGGGGTGGGGGTGGAATGTCCATGGTCTCCATGGAGCCAGTAGTTGACACACATGGTCGGTTGCTGTTATTCTGGCAAGTATAATTCTGTTTTACCTCCTCTACTAAACTACTCCTATCCTTCAGTTAAGCACACTTCAGCTGGAGCAAAACTAAGTAGTTCCATTATATTCAACGCATGCAGAATCATAGACAGACACACATTTATGTGTGGTGCACATTTATTGTATCAGATCAGCATATATAGGCCAGTACTTTTTAGTTTTTCTTTTGCTTTGACGTATACATAAACACCTTTGCGCCTTTTTTTTTTCTTGATAGGTATGAATGTTAAACCAAACAAGCCTAATGGGCAGTGTTAATTTATGAACTGTATATTTGCTAAATATGTATGTATACAACAAAATCTAACCAAAATGTATGTTCATGACAATAACTGATATAATTGCTTAGCTAAATAATGTAGCCATTTTTTAAATATAAGTTTTATATATTTTTTCTACTGTGAAGCCTGCATTTTTATTCTCTTCTTTTTTAATATACTGAGGTGAGGTGCTTAGAGGATAAGCAGAGCTAGGGCTTTGTCTGAATCTTCCTCAACACTCCTGCAGGGGGAAGGTAACAGAGAAAGATGTTAATCTAGTTCTGGTGAGTAAGATGCCTGAGTTTGGAAGGTTGCTTGGTTTAAATACCATAACCAAAGTTTGGTTCCACCTAGTGCTTAGCCCTAAACTGTACCAATAGTTTTTAAACTAGTAATATATGGATTATTTTGCTCACTTGGTAGCTATCAAAAAAGGACCACTGCACAGCTGGGAAGTGTATATAATAAACTAGCCTGATACCCGTGATTCACTGCGGTATTTAAGTTCCTTAAATCTATATATCTAATAGCCAAGGTGCCCTCTGTGTGCAGATATCTAAGAGATTTTCCCAGATGTGCAGAAAAGAGATTTTCCTGCACATTTTGGGCAATCCCCAGATATGCAGAAAAATCTGAAATCTATTAAAAAAACTATAGGGGGGGATACTTAAGTCCCCCCAAAAGTAAAGGAGCATTCCCTGCGCATGCGCAGAGAACGCACTCACCACTGGGAACTGTGGCAGAGCCGTTGCTGCTGTCGTCATCATCGGCGCAGGGGGGAGAAGCCTTGGCGGGGCCAGCAGCCGGGAGCCGGGTCATTGCTGCTGGGGGGGAAGCCTGGCCAGCCCCGCAGCTAGGTGCCGCGCAGGGCTTGCCGCCTTTGCTGCTGGCAGCAGCGGGGGGGGGAGAAGCCTTGGCGGGGCCAGCAGCCGGGAGCCGGGTCATTGCTGCTGGGGGGGAAGCCTGGCCAGCCCCGCAGCTAGGTGCCGCGCAGGGCTTGCCGCCTTTGCTGCTGGCAGCAGCGGGGGGGGGAGAAGCCTTGGCGGGGCCAGCAGCCGGGAGCCGGGTCATTGCTGCTGGGGGGGAAGCCTGGTGAGCCCAGCTGACTACCTGCTGGGCTCTCATGCGGCCGCTGCCACCACCACCTCTCTGCGGAGCTCCTGCCGCTTCAGCAGGCCAGCCACCCGGGAGCCGCGGGGAATACCCCCTCCTGTGAGTATCGCGGGTCCCGCTTCTTGTCCAGTTATAATACTAATGATGTATGCCAATAAAAGGTATTTGAATTTGAATACTGATGATGTGAAATTTGAAATGTGCCATTTGTTGTAGGAATTCTAACAAAGAAGACTGTAAAATTGAAGTGGGACATACATCCTTTTTTTCTGTACTGAAGGACCTCTCTCTAGACCACATTGGTGGTTCTGCCCTCAGGTGCTAGGGTCGCCAGGCTGCTTGATGAGGTCACTCTGGACATAGAACTGTCCATTTAAGAAGCAGTCGTCATTTAAGAAGCAGGGGTCATCATGTTTCTCAGAAATCTCCTCATGGGGAGTTTGACATCATGGTAGGAATGCACTCCCCTTATTTTGGGTTTCTTGGTGCAGGGGTTTGGCCTGGGCATTGAATTTGGGGGGAGGGCATACCCCCCCTTTTTTACAAAAATCCTCCTCATTTATGTTACATTTTAGAACTTGGACATAACTACATATTCAAAACACCATCCGAGCAATCAGATATTAAGCAAGTTCATATGAACCAGTTTTCTAGAACCTACATTGTGAGAAGTTAAATAACCTAATAAAGAAAACCAGTTTTCTTCAAATTTGAAGTATATTTCCATTGTGGCTAAGCTGGGCCAGCAGCACCTGCTACTACACCTGACAGACACCAGCCTGTCTGATATTGGGGGGGTTGTATTTAAAGGCATCGTGAAGGTTGGCCAGCAGTAGGGCTAAGGCAATCCTTCTGAACAACCCTCCCCGGTGGCTGTAAGCATCCCACCTTCTGTCTTACACCTGACAGGTGGCTGCCTGTCCAGTGTAGGAGGGGGCGGAGTATTAGAAAGCCACTGTGGAGGCGGGGCTGGCAGGATCAATAAGGCATTATTGTTGGGGTGGGCTCCCTTATGGCTTTAAGCACCCTGCAACCACTGCTGCACCTGACAGACAGCCACCTGTTAGGTGTAGGAGGTGGGGGGAGTGTGTTGGAAGCCACCCCACCTCCTGTCCTACACCTGACAGGCAGCTGTCTGTCCAGTGTAGGAGGGGGAGGGGGAGGAGTATTAGAAGTCACCCGGAGATCCTTGGAAGATGTGATGGACTGCACTTTTTAAGAGGGTTAGAAGTGCTCTACCAGCAGCTAAAGGTCTGTGAAGGGTTAATTGAGTGACAGCCTTCCCTAAGTAATCTGATTGGTTAGCATCAGCTGAGCAAAAAAAAGTATTAAAAGAGCTGGATGCTGAGGAGATTCAGTCAAATTCCTGCCTTAACTGAGAAGAGATGTTTACTGAGACGGTCTGAAAATAGTCCTGACAGGAAAAAAAAGGGTTTAATGCTGAAAGAGTCAGATTTCAGCCTTAATTGAAAGCATAAGAACATAAGAGACGCCAATGTTGGATCAGGCCAAAGGCCCATCCAGTCCAACACTCTGTCACACAGTGGCCAAAAATACCAGGTGCCATCAGGAGGTCCACCAGTGGGGCCAGGACATTAGAAGCCCTCCCACTGTTGACCCCCCCAAGCACCAAGAAGACAGAGCATCACTTGCCCCAGAGTCCCTATCTATACCTTGTGGCTAATAGCCACTGATGGACCTCTGCTCCATATGCTTATCTAATTCCCTTTTGAAGCCATCCATGCTTGTAGCCACCACCACTTCCTGTGGCAGTGAATTCCATGTGTTAATCACTCTTCGGGTGAAGAAGTACTTCCTTTTATCCATTCTAACCCAACCGCTCAGCGTCCAGACAGAGAACTGGGGGAAAGTTTGGCAAGGAGGTTTGAGTACTAGAGAAGATTCCCATTCAAGCCAAAGGAAAGAGAATAGATCTTCTAGGAAGAGAAGAGATTTCCTACCCAGTCGAACAAGGAATCTGATCTCTGAGGAATACAGAGATCCCTGGTCTGGTGTGATTAGAAACAGCCTTTAGAGATCTTAAAAGTCAGTTAACAACTCAAGAAGAGCACTTCTCTTAAGAAGAGGTTTGGGTACTGGGAAGAGGGTACCAGCCTTCTGGGCACCAAAAGAGTCAGTGATTACTCAAATAGTACAGTAGAGGGTTTGGGAAAACACTGGAACAAAAGCCTCTCACTATAAAGATCTAAGTAACAGTGAATAACTTATGAACCTCTCATTAGCCTGATATATAAGAACAAAAGTCTGTGCTTGTACTAGTTTTACCTCAGTAATTTCAACCCTTGATTTCAGCTGGCCTTTCCCCTCAATATTAAATAAAACCTCATGTTATTTTTGAATGTTAAAGGGTCTCAAGTGCCATTTTCAAGGGTTTAAGTTAAAGGGCAATCCTATCTCTTCCCTCAGGTTCCTGGGCTGAGCAAATTGTTAAAATATATCTTATTGACATGGTGGTACAGCCAAAGTTTCTTTAGGAGAGGAGAAAACACATTACCAGGGCTGCTCAGTCAGTGAAGGAACAGAAAAAATTGAAGGAAAATCTTGCCTCTGAGAGAGGGAAGTTGAAGGGATGTGTTATAGAATACAAGTGGTATATAAAAGTCCATGATGAATTAATATACCTGCAACTCTGTATCAACAAAATAGCTACTGGTTCAACCAGCTGAATAGTGGAAGCTGGTGAAGCTCTGATGTGTAACTCAAGCTTGCCTCTCATTTTGCTATGATGAAAAATGCATCCCCTGCCAATATCTAAAGTAAAGTTGCTTAGTAAAATCTAATTCTCAACCTTCATCATTGTTATCTCAAAATAGGAGCAAAGCCTGTCAGTAGGGAATTTTTAATCTAGTTGTCTCTGTTGTGTACCATATTCTGATTATCTGCATTTATAAGAGCTCATGCACCAAAATCCTGTGGGCTGTCAACACTATCGTAGGTCTATTAAGGAGCAGGGGTAACATGCAGTTTTTCTAGTTATGCTTAAACTACAGCAAAATGGCATCTTCTCAATAACAGCAGGCAAGTCCTTTGCTGCCTCTGGTGGGGCCTCCTTGCTCTTGGATCTAGTTGTTGTTAACCAGTGCCTTTTTGAAAGCATTAGCTTTAAGCTGATTCGTCTTTTGCCAAATACATGCAGAGGATAATTAGGCTTAGGAAATATTGTTACGCTCACATTT